AGGCATGTTCTTTTCAGAAAATATTTGATTGTGCTGTAATTAAAACACATAGCCAATGAAGTGTTTTTCTTTCACAGACAGTACTAGTTCACCTTCAGAGACTGCCTTAGCCTACAGCTTTTAAACTAGCATTAATAAAGGCTCTGCTTATATTTCTCTATGGCTAGAGAGAAATATGCAGACCTTGGAATCATATCATATTGTGCAAGTATTAATAACATTAAATATTTAATAAAATCAGATATAATGAAAAAATATCTTCTGCGTTAATCCAAATATCTTAGCTGTTTTTGACTCATCTTAGAAATAGATCTCTCCAAGCCCAAAAAGAACAGGGGGGGGGGGGCTTCCTGATCCAAATCATGTGATTACCATTGAGCTACGGGACCTACCTTTCTTGTGCAATAGATACTTCACGGTTTTCCTGGGCACAGGAACAATAAGCACAGAAACAACAGCATGGACTGCTACTGTTTCCCAACAGTGAGACTGAACTATTTCTTCTCTCTGATCTTCTAAGCACTATGCTGCTTCATAGTGATATAAAAATTTTACATTGCTTCTGCTTCTATTTGTAAAGCAGAGTTAGAGAACTCTCTGTAATTAGAGAACCATATATGCAGGATAGAAGAAGGATACCAATGGTAAATAATGTTGACCCTTGCAGATAAAGGGTCTCGGTCATAAGTGTCCATTATAAACCCCAGTGACATCATGAGGTTGTGATGTAAATAATATGAGTTATGCACTTAATTATCCCATGCAATGTCACCAGTACATAGTTGAGACCCATGGTCTCAGTACAATTTTCTTTTCTCCATCCAGAGGATTACATATTCACCCTGCCCTCAATTCCTGAGCTTGGTCATACTGATCACAGGGAGCCACAGTTGTAGGCATGGCTTCCCTCAACCAACACAATGTTCTTCCAGGTAAGAGAATGTTGTGAAAGCCATCATCCTGTTCCCAAAGCACTGAGATCATGGCGCTTAGCCATCCCCAGGATCCTATCTCCTCCTCCCCACATATGGTTGCTTCGGTGGGGGAGAGAGCAGACCACCTTCCATCACAAAAGTGCAAAGAGGCAGATAGGGGACATTTCCCCCATTCTTTCCAAGTACCAAGAGACGTTGCTTCTCTCTACCTCTGAAAAGATTATGAGGAGAGGATTTGCTTTGAGAAGTCTTTTTCTGAGCTTAATTCCTCAGCAGTTATCGATTTTTTATGAAGAAATAGAACCAAAAAATATATATATTTAACTTTTTTTACAGTAAAAAAATAAGAATCTCTGTGCTATTTACTTCCTGTTCAGTTCCTGTAAGTGCTCATTAACATTGCTTAATTTCACTATATAACTACAATGAAATTTTGGAATGGGTCTTTTCATCTATTTCATGTGATGCATGAAATATGCTGTTAGTATGCACGCTACAGTTCAATTTGTAACATTATTTCACGACAAGCCTACAAAACAAGCTAATAGTATCAGACAAAGAACTACAATTTGGAAAAGAACTTGAAGTGAAATGAGGAGATTTTTGTTTGCACATGTTTTTAAATGTATAATTCTCATTTCAATTCCAAAGTGGTTTTCTCTTCCATGTTTTTCAAAAACGATTGTTTCTAAAAATATTAGAATGGTGACTGGTTGAGAATTCCCACCTGTTTGACCACTTCCAGCCCACAGCTGTGAAGAGAATCCATGGTTTATCCAGCTGCAGTTTTCAATCATTCCATTAAAACTCTGTAATTCTGACCCATCCGTTCCTTATTGTTGCACACACATTCCATTCCAGCTACATTCAAAAGCTCCCCCTTTTGGCTTAAGGGAAGCAGCAGAGTCCTGATATTGACCAAAATATTGTACAAAAATGTCATTTAGAGCTAGGCCCTTTCCTCATATGGGAGCTGTGCCGATGTAAGATCAGCACTACTCTCCTGTGTCCCCACAACATTGTGGGGCTTATGAAGTCAATCCAATTAGCTATTGGCCTGGTTCCTATGGCAGGAAAAAGGCTGTAAAGAGAATTTTGCAGTCATTCCTCTAAAGCTGTGGAGCAGTTGGTTGCCTGTTGACAGGAACTTCCACCTCAGCCCAACTCCTGGAACTTGTGATGAGGGAGGGGCACCAGCTAGCCGCTGGTTTAGCATTCTCCCATACAGGGGGATGTGGCTAAAGCAGTGTTGTCCAAACTTGGCCACTTTAAGATGAGTGGACTTCAACTCCCAGAATTCCCCAGCCAGCGATGGGGACAGTGACAACACTGGGCTAAAGGAAGCTAAGGTGAGGGCATTTGCTGAGTGCCACCCAGCAATATAAAAATACTGGTGACATTTGGGGATAGCATGAAGGCAGCACCATGCAGATGGGGTGTTAATTTTTGTGTGTTTGTGTGTGTCTTGGCCAGTTTAAACATTTCATCAAAAGAACAAGAAGTGACCATGTTTTAGCCTTTCTGAAAAAGAATCCTACATATTATGATAGATTACATGCTGTATGTGAGTCAACAGTCTGAGACTTTTCCAAAAAAGGCAAACACTCTGCTGGGTTGCAGACACAATGCATGCAGGATACAGGAACTGTGACAGTTTTGTGACAGGCTAGGCCGAACCCCTTTGAAGCAAGGGCCTCCTTTCATCTTATTTTTATCAAAGTTATTTAAGTAATTACCAGAATATCGATGATAACTCGCAATACAAGCATAGAGAAAGCTGATGTAGTCCTTTTGCATTTTTTGACTACATTGAAAACAAAAACTGGAGCTATTGGTCGGTAATATTACAAACCACTATTGATATGAGCAACTGTAACCAATCCCTCCCCAATAGATGGCTTAATTAGAGGGACCTGGAAAATCTTCTGGATGGCTACACTGTCCAAAAGGGAGGAAAGGAGGTTTATATTCAGTTTTAACTAGCTTTGTTTAGGAGCATGTTCAGGGCACATCTGGATCAAGAAAAAAGAAAAAAAGTCCCAGAAAGCTATTGCTTCATTTCTGTTGAGGTGGCCATGTGTTCTGCTACCCAGAGGAGAGCGCTCTCTCCCTCTCTCTCTCTCTCTCTCTCTCTCTCACACACACACACACACACACACACACACACACA